CGTTAAGTTGAATGTTAAAGAAAAAACAGAGGCTTAGAATGTGTTGTGACTTGAAATGAGTCTGGTACTATGTAGAGGACTTTTCCAGCATTATCTCATTTAATCTTTTTTTTTAAACATACGTATTGATTTCAGAGAGAGGAAGAGGGAGAGAGAGAGAGAGAGAAACATCAATGATGAGTCATTGATCGGCTGCCTCCTGCGCACCCCCTGCCGGGGATCGAGCCCACAACCTGCTCCTGCACCCTGACCCCAAATCGAACCGTGATCTCCTGGATCCTAGGTCGATGCTCAACCGCTGGGCCACGCCCGGCCTGGCTCATTTAATCTTTATAACAACTCTGATGCTGGGAGTATTATTAAGCTCCTTTACACAGGTAATTAGACTGTGCTGGAGATTGTGCCGAAGGTCACAGAGTAACTGGTGGAACTAGGATTCAAGTCCAGCTGTGTAGCACTCAGAAGCCTGTCCTAACTCCTGCCTTGGCTCCCTCACTGCCTGGAGTACATTGAAGGGAAGATGGGAGGCTGGAAAAGGCCACTTGCCCAGCTTTCACTCAAGTGTCGGTTCTAATTGTGGCCATAAACGAATCTTCACCAAGAAATATATACTCACAGGTTGGTTTTGCAATCTGTCCCAAAATTTGCCTTTGAATAAGCACTGCTGGTTTGATCTTCTTGTGACTCATCGGGCCCTGGGCTGGCCTCAGGTGTAGTCACCATGGATAATGGTTGTGTAACCACTTCACTACAATAGCCAGCATCTAGGAAGAAGGAGTAGAATTGTAGTTCCATGCTTGTTTTGGCAGGAAAGACTGCCTTGGCCCCAGTTATCTCATTATACTTAGAGACCTCATGAGGCTCAGGGACAAATATCTGCTTCTTTCTTTCATTTATTTATTCAACACATTTACTTGCCCTTTAGGGGCAAGTAAATTTGGTGAAAATTCATTTGATTCCTAGCTGGAATGAGGCCACTCTTGTGATAACTATAGATGGGATTCTTTTGTGGGACCTTTTCCCCCACTGAGTTGGTTTGTTTACTTGCCTGGCACATTACACAAATCGCAAGAGCACTTTCTCACCAGAGAGCTGCCACCCTCTTTTGTCCTCTTGTTTCTCACAAGCAGAAGTGTCAAGAGCTTTCCATTTTGAGCTCCTTGAGTGGCAGAATGGTGCCTTTTTCCCCCCCTCCCCAAAGCCTAATACGGCATCTGACTCGTGGTAGGTGCTCATCACATGAATAGACCTCAGCAGAGACGGGCCTACAGGGCTCAGAGGTAATGACTAGACCTCCTGGTTTGGAAGGCTAGGAAGGGTGAACCTTGTGGGGTCTTGGAAAGACTGAAATTCGGCAACTATAGATGCATTGGATGTATATATAAGCTATTTGATAACTTTCATATTGAAGAAAACTACAGTGCTATTTGCTATGTTTTCTGCGGTTGGTTGGAAGATGCTGTTACCCCTTTTGTGGTGAAATTTGCAATATAACATACTTTTATTTTCAGTCATTTAAATTTATGTAATATAGTGTCCTAGAGAGGGAATTTACATTCCTGAGAATTGTCTTATCGCACCTAAAGTTGAGTGTG